GAGTGTTAGATGTGTTGGGTGGCGGATCTGGTGGTTGCGGTGAGGTGTGGTCGCGGTGATGGAGGTGATTATGGTCATGGTGGATCTTGTGGTCGCAGTGATGGTGACGGGATCTGGTTTGGATCTTATTTGTTGTTGGAAATGGTAGTTGTAGTGGTGGCTGAAAATGGTGGAGGCGGCGACGACGCTGTGAGGTGATGACGGTTTGTGGAATGTTGGCTGTTGGTGGTTAATTGAAGTTGTAGGTGGAGGTAGTGTGTGGTGTTGGAGTAAGCGTTTGTGGGGGCGGCGGCAACGATGTGTGTGATAGTCATGGCTTCGTTTCCGGCAGTGATGGTGGTACGTTTCTGTTGTTGGCAACGGTGGTACGTTCTGTGGTGGTGGTGGTGATGGTGATGGTTGTGATTGTGATTGTGGTGTGTTGGTGGTGTTGTGTTGTTGGTAGGGGCGGTAGTGGGATAACATTTGTGACCAATTATTTGGTTAATTTGTGATCAAGTATTGGTGGTGGATCGGGATCGAAATGGGGTGTTTGGTGTATGTGACCAACTATTTGGTTTATTGTGATTAACTATTAAACCGTGATCTTAAAATTTGATAATTTGTGACTAAAAAATAATATTTGACCAACAAATTTGAAAATATGTGATCGATAGATAAACTATGAACTATAATTTTTTTTATCTGTTACCAATGAAATAAATTGTGCCGTATAAAATTTTTTATTTGTGATCTCGAAATAATTTGTGACCAATTAATTTAATAATATGTGACCAACAAATAAGTTGTGACATGTAATTATGTACATGTGACCATTAATTGTATAATTGTGAATTTCTTATATTTAAATAATAATTATTTTTAATTAATTAACTAAATACTTGAGTTTTGTATTTTTTAAACTTGAAACCTGATTTTTGTATTGGTAAAATTTAAAATCTGATTTGTGAACTCTTCCCTTGTATATATGCAGTGAAACTAGTTAAGGAACTGGACAAGTAACAAGGATTTCCGGCCCAGTCGTAGGCCCATCCCACCATGTATCCCATTTTGAATTGTCAAATGCGCTGGGCCACGGGCCTGTTTCAGCTAGATAATTCAAAAGCTGGGCTTGATCCACCTGATCCTTAGCTGGTTACAATTAGGGCTCAAGCCTAGATTTCACGGGCCAGCAAGTGATCTGGGCCGATTGCCATTCGTCCGGGAGAAAATAATCGTAACTAGAGGAAATTGTAAAGATTGGTTTTTTTTGACCTCCCATTTTGAAATATGACCAAAATTTGTAAGTTTTTCATCCATGGCTATTTTCTTGCAAAGGAGACTAAACTGGTAATCTGAAGATATAACTCTAAGGTGAATTAATTGCTTGAAGTGTAATTTTATTGAAGCTTTAACTGTTGTGTTTCTTGGATTTTCTTTTCTTGATTTTGGCTAAATAAAAATGCTAATTAGTGTTAAATCAGCTGATGTCATTCTCTCAGAAGACGCTAGGCATTCTGGGAAGTTGCTTCAGCGCTATTTTATTACTTCTAATTTCTTTGTTTGCTGTGGAATATTAATTTGATGCATACATGTATGTGTTGTGTGAATTTTTATTTTTTTCTGATTTAGATTTTCAGTTGAGTTATCACAAATTTAATGAGTCTCAACGAGAACAATTAGTTCTCAAGAGATTACATGATAGTGAAATTGTGGCGCTAATAAGTGATGCTGGGACACTAGGTATCAATGATCCTGGAATGGAACTGGTGAGAGACACACATATAGTAATGCTGTGATATTCCACTGTACATTACACATTTGTGTTGCCTGTATACGTATACTCACGAGTTTGTACATATCTGTAAATATACTTGATTGCATGTGCACATACATACATGTAAATAGCAAGATTCATTGAGCTGATAATATCAGTGATGCTGGTCTCGTGTATGGTATTTTGGAATATGGATGTAGGCAAAGTATACCTGTTACTTCCGTCCCTGGGGCATCTGCTTTGATTCTATTAACTAACGAGCTCACATTTGGTATTTCTCTTATAACTCTGGTATTTAAAATCAATTGCTTGATTATATTGAAACATTGCATACAACAAGCATGCGGTTGGAGAAGAGAGAGGCTGATAGTTTCTGTAAATGAAGCAGCAACTCAGGTCTCCTTTGTTCCTCATCACAAGCTCTCTCAAATTTTTGAAAAGGCTTCTTCAATTTTTGGCGACTCTCTATATAAGTCTTGTCAAGGACTGTGGTACCGTTTGTAACCATTGTTGCAAATATAAGTTTAACAATGAAACATATATGCATTTAAACCTCACTTGTTGGAATGAACACTAAAGCTATCTCCCACATATTGTGATTCTTTATTCTTCTGTTATGAACGATTCTAGAACTGCTTTACTTCTGGAAAATCAATTTCATAGTGCATACTATCTTTATTTATTCATTTTTTAAACTAAGGGCAAATTTTAATCCAAACCAGATTATAAACTCCTTTTTTAGAGTTAGTTGTCTCTAATGGTATGCTTAAAGTAGTACTTTCTGACTAATTTTCTTCTCTTTGTAACTTGACCTCTTATTGATTTTGATACCAGTCAGCAAACAAGATTCTTGCTTCAGTATCTTGAATTCTTCATATTCTCATCTACTTCTGAAAATTGAAACTGAAGAATTACAATGTCTACGATCATTATCTAATCACTTTGCATTTATCACAGGCGATATCTCATTGCTAGGGAGATGACTAAAATACATGAAGAGGTAAGGATTGTAATTTGTGATTTGCCTATGTGTTCTCATTCAAAGTGCCATTTTAGTAATTGCCTGATCTAGTTTTCTAAAAAGAGTGGAATTAAGAGAGATGACGAATTATAAATTTGAAAAGTGAGATGCAATATCCATTATTAGAATTGCAATTTGACAATCTATTATACAACACTTGAGTCATGGATACCAGGGGATACAGAGACAAATAACAAAGCCAAAACATGGAAC